CCAAACACATCCCTTCAGCCAGAGCCTAAAGGTACCAAGAAGGGTGATGTCCCTATGGGAGATGAGCTTAGTTATACCCATTAGTCCCAAATGAGAACAGTGTTTGGCAAGCATTTAAGCCAGAAGACCAAGAATCCTTAAAAACATAACTAAAGGCAGTTGAGGACCTCTGGCTCCACTGTCCAAGATGAACCTGGGCATGGGGGACATTATGGGCAGGGGGTGAGCAGGACACACTGCCAGTAAAGGGTTCCAGGTCAGCCAGAGCAACACTAATCCCAGACACAGCCATGGAAGAGTTGATAAAGGATTTAGGGAACAGAGCTTAATTACAAGTCCTGCTTTAATCTCGGTCAAGAGCTGCTTAGTAGAAACCCTACCCCATTAAATGGGCTTAAATTTCATTCTTGGGTCAAACAACATTGTAATCTCTCTGAACACACAGAATTAGAAGATATTAAACTCCTATTAAATATATAATTGCATATAAAAGCACAGGGTGATTAATTGCTGAGATACCACATTTCTAAAGGGGCACAGGTAATTCCCAGCATAACTGGTTGGGACTAAGGAACAATCCAGAAAGCAGATAGGTACCAAAGAAAGAGAAGGAAAAACCAAAAAGCCTGATGATATAATGCACAGATGACACAAAAGCTGGCAGGACAACCATGAAACCAGGCAGCCACAGAGAACAAGCACTTGGAAACCTTGATGCTTCCCAGCAACTCGCACCACAGGAGAGCCAGGCACGAAGGTACAGATGCAGCAACGGGGAGCACGATGCAGTGCTCCTGAGAAAACAACTCGGCATTAAGCAGTAATTCCCATTAAAACACTGAGGGAATGAGAGCTTCTCCAATCTCAGCATGCAGCAGGAGACTACTCCAGTATCAGCGTAATTGTATCTGCATCTGAAGTGGTGAGGAGGCACAGGAATCCTGTAACTACATCTGTGTGGCCAGACTGATGGAGTTACAGTTTTCAGCTTATCAAATGCTGCTTAAAAACCCTTCAGTGACTTCAAAAGGCTGCAAATGCAGCTTGAGAGCAGGAAGAGGGTTTTCAAGAGCGACAGGCCTCGAGCTGTAAAACCAAAGCAGGATTACTAAGAAGCGACTTGAAAATAGAAGCTGGTATTTTAACGGCGAGAAGACACCCCGTGTTAAAGGATGCTGCATGGGAAAGGACAGCAAAACATCCCCAACCAAAAGCAAGAACTGCTTCTAAATGAACAGCAACTCGGGTAATGACACAGATTCATCCTTCGATGACAGGCTGAGCACAGGGAGAAGTGGCTGTAGTTATACAGCCCACATTGATGGGGTTTCACACAAGATAACCTCACTGCTTCTCCTTTATTCTGCGCCACTTTGAGTCAATCATCGGTTATCAAGGAGTAGAGCACAAAACGTGGGATATTCTATACAGAGAGCTAGGGAAGAAGTTAAAGGGAGAAAAGCGAATCACAGAAGAAAGTAAACCAGCCTCAGCCAGGCAATAAAGCAATCTCTACATAGCCAAAGTGACATATATTCATGTTATTTCAGTGCTCAGCAAACGCTGGGTGAGGGATCACCCTTATCTCCAAGAGTATCCTTGGTCAGAGACTGCACAGGATGAATGCATCCTCTGCGGTTTCTAACCCATCCATCCTCACTTACAGTGGCCACCGTTAGAGTATCACTAGCTTCCCATCACTGAAGAGGAGTTGAAGTGGGCAGAAAGTTCCTCAAACAGCAACAAACTGGATCAGTCAACCAGCTGCAATAAAAACCAGAGCACTCGGGTGTCACAGCTCAGCCAAGAGGTGGTTTTGCACAAGAAAGAGGTTTTCTCTTCCCCTAGGACGTTACCTGATCCTGCAGAATTAAGCGATTCTTAGAAGCCTAGATAGAGAGAGGAGAGCCAAAAATACTCTGCAAAACCAAGCAGTGTAACACAAGAGGAAAAAGAGGAATTAGAACAGCAGAAGGAAGTGGAATTCGGAGCAATGGATATAATTAGGAGAGGCTGAATAGCAGGAAAGACATCCTGAAGTGGATTATTTTGATTCCAGGAGCATCGCAGACTCAAGGGGATCCCCACAAAGACTCACTTAACTTGTTCAGTGTCCTTCAAACACAGCGACATTCCCCGGTAGATACAACAGAGAACATAAGAGACTGGGCTGGCACTGGAGCCACAAGCATAGCAGGACATGAGACCAGCACAGCTCATCACACCGATAGAGGCTGTTGCAACACTTCCTCACACACCCTCATCTCCTATTTTATATTTAGGATGAAATTCCTTTCCATGAGGAGGGCCAGGCTTCATCCCACATCTGCTCAGCACCCAGCACAATGGAGTCCCAGCTGCTGACTCCCAGAATCACAGCAAGAACAGAGCAGAAGAAAATCGGGACTTGAAGAAGGCATCTCGGCCTTCCCCTGCCCCAGGGCAAGAATTACTACACTTGCTATTTGTCTAGAAGAAAACGCTCTCCCTGATGGGTGGAACACAAACCCACCCAGACAGATGAATGAGCTGGACCTTAAGTTTAACATCTTAACCCCTCCATCGCCCTCTGATAATAGCAATTCATAGAATCCCAGACTGGGTCAGGTTGGAAGGGACCTTAAAGCTCCTCCAGCTCCAACCCTGCCATGGGCAGGGACACCTTCCACTAGAGCAGCTTGCTCCAAGCCCCATCCAACCTGGCCTTAAACGCTGCCAGGAATGGGGCAGCCACAGCTTCTCTGCGCTAAGTCAGCCTTGAGCACTGCACCAGGGCACCACGGAGCTGGAATATCTCACTCTGCCAGGTCAGGAACTGATAAAAGTGTGATTCTGTGAACAAACCCGGGCTGGCAGCAGGGGCCCACAGCCCTGCCTGTTTGTGAACCACGCTTTGGGACTGCTGCTCCTCGAAGGGAAGCCAGCCCCTGGCTCCTGGAGACACACTTCTTCCATGATGCCTATAACAAGTGAGTCACCCTTTTATGAAGTTTCCTTCATCCTCTTTTCCAGCACATCGTGTTTCCCCTGAGCTGGGCTAGTTTCAACTCTGAAAGTGCTTGGAGCAGGTATTGCTTATGCTTGTATCAATAATAACACTCCTGATGATGTGCCATTCACCGATAGCCAAGCACAACCCTTTCTCAGCCTCAAACTGTCATTAACGTGGGTATGCAGATAGACATTAAGTCAAGCTCCTCATTTAACCTTAATACTAAGGAACAAGATCAACTGCACTCTGTTCTATGAAATGGAAAAAACACCACCCACACTCTTCATCCTGGCAGTTCCCAGACATTGGAACCAGTTGTTTCAGTTTTAATAAATCCCATTCTCATTCAATTTACCTTTAAAGCTTTCACAGGAGAACTCCGGAAAGAAAACTGCAAGAAGTCAAAAAACCTAAAGAAATGGGCAACCCCATAGCAAGATAAATCCAGTGCTCCGTTGTTCCACAGAGGAAAAGCTTTCCCTTTCACTGCAGTATCCATGTGAGTCAAACAGCTTCAACACACTGCTTTTTAAAGCCATGCGAGTCATTTCAAACCATGACTTTGTAAAACCTGGCTATTGAAAAGAAGCCAAAGGGCTGCAGCGGATGAGGTGGGAATGGAGCTCTCCAGGGCTGTTTATAGGGAAACAATCCCACCTGGTACTGAGATTTCCAGTTGAGCAGCTCCTAGGCTGATGCAGAGCAGCTGAGAGAGGAAGGCGAAAGCAACAGCACTGCCAAAGGACCGAGTGACAAAGCTTAGCACCAGGTTTTAAGCCTGCAATAATGCAGGTATTTAGATTCTGAAGCCAAGTACCACAACTCCACCTTTCCCCACTCACAGCCCAATAAATTTAGCTCCCATGAACTGTAAATATCCCCAACCCATTTCTATCAGCAACCTTCCAGTGGATAACATACACACATGTGCTCAGCACCCAGAGTAACACACACTGGTTTTGATATAAAGCTCTTTGGAGAGCTTCTGCTTTACTTTAAAGAGGGGCAAGGAGGGATGAGGTGTCTCACTTTGCCAAAGTCATTATGTAGCATCGCTGTACAGGCACAGCACAGAGTCTGGCTAGCAGGACCATGTCTTAGATCACAGCATCAGAATCACAGACTGGTTTGGGTTGGAAGGGACCTCAAAGCTCATCCAGTTCCAACCCCTGCCACAGGCAGGGACACCTTCCACTGGAGCAGGTTGCTCAAGCATGAGCACTGCTTGTAGATAGCTGTGCATAACGTACCTAAAACATCCCATTTGGTAAGAAATGAGGTGACTGCTCATGAGGCACAGGCTTCACTTACACAGAAGCAGCAGGAAAGCCATCCTGAAGTGGATGTGTGCAGCAAAACCCTAACCAGCATCACAAAGAAACACCTAAAAAGGCTGAGACACCAAACCCAGGCACGCTGAAAGGAGCCGAAGGGGAAGGGAAAGGGAAGGGGCAGCGCTCTTGGGCAGCAGCTCCATCCCTCTGCGCTCTGGGGCAGAAGCTCGGCACTTAACACTGATGAAGCAGCCGGTTCTCCCAGCTGAAGGATACTGCACGAACCACTGGGAAATAGACGCTTAATAGGAGAACAAAGGCTCCATTAAGCAAACAGAGGCATTAACTCAGATCAGCGTCAGGATGATAACAGTCCCCATACCCGCAGCTTCACAACCAACCCCGGTATTTGCGAGACTGACAAGACCCCGAGGGGCAGGCGATGGGCTGCAATGATAGCGTGGCCAGACGAAGCGTTAAGGGCTGGAAAACGCCCTCCTTCCCCTCCCGCACCAGCACCGAGGGGCACCGCGAACCGGCCCCGCAGCGACCCAGGCCAAGGGCGGCAGCTTCCAGCCCCCGGGAGCCGGGCAGGGGCGGGCCGGGGGCTGCGGGCGCTCCGCAGGGACGGGTGTTCAATACAGCCCTCATTAAACCGCCCTCATTTCCCCCTCCGTGTTCTATGGGGGAGCGGCAAGAGAGCTCTGCCCGAGCCTCCCCTCCCCTCCCCGCACCTGAGCGTGGGGCCGATGCAGGCCGTGTCGGTGCTCTCGATCTCCCGCAGGATCCGCTCATGCTCCGCCGCCGTCTCCAGGCTCTCCAGCTCCGCCATCTTCCCCCGCTCCATGGGGCTGCGCCGTGCCGGCCACACCTGCCCTCTCCCGCCCCGGGCAGCGGCAGCGGCGGCGCCGGGGCCGCCCGCGCTGCTCCGCTCGGCTCCGTGCGGGCCGGGCACGCCGGGAAATGTAGTGCGGGCCGGGCCGGGGGGGGGGAGCCGCGGCCTGCGCCGGCGCTGCCAGAGCCCGCACCGAGGGGCGGGGAGCGGCCGCCCGGGGCGGTGTCAGCGGCCCCGGGCAGGCGGAGGGGGCAGAGCGGGGCGAGGCGGGGACGCGGCCCCATGGCCGGAGCCGTGCGTGAGCCGTGAGGGGCAGAGCCCCCTGCCCGTGGCACCCATCATGGGGAGGCGCAGCCCCATGGCAGGGACCTCTGTGGCCTTCTCGCGTTGAGGGACGCAGAGCCATGGCCACGCCGCGCAGCGTGGGGAGAGGCAGACACCATGGCAGCAGCATCCCCTCTGAGCGGACACAGCCCCGGGGCAGGATCCGCGTGTGTCCCGTAACGGGACGGAGCGCCATGGCCGTGACATCCACCGTGGGGAGGTGCAGCCGTCACGCAGCAGCGTCCCTCCCGAGGGGGCACAGCCCCATGCCTCTGGTAACTCCCGGGGGGGGCACAGCCCCATGGCCGGATCCTGCGTCCTCCCCTATGAAGGGGCGCAGCCCCATGGCCGGATCGTGTATCCGTCATCCTCCCCTGTGAAGGGGCGCAGCCCCATGGCCGGATCCTGCGTCCTCCCCTATGAAGGGGCGCAGCCCCATGGCCGGATCCTGCGTCCTCCCCTATGAAGGGGCGCAGCCCCATGGCCGGATCCTGCGTCCTCCCCTATGAAGGGGCGCAGCCCCATGGCCAGATCCTGCGTCATCCCTATGAAGGGGCACAGCCCCATGGCCAGATCCTGCGTCATCCCTATGAAGGGGCGCAGCCCCATGGCCGGATCCTGCGTCCTCCCCTATGAAGGGGCGCAGCCCCATGGCCATGAAACCGACCATGGGGAGACTCAGCCTCCAAGGCGGTGGCACCCGCCAGGAGGGGGGATAGCCCCTTGTCCATGACACCTCCCTCTGGGGCACAGCCCTATGGCAGCATCCCTGTGTCCCCTTTAAGGAGATGCAGCCCCGGGGCAAGGACCTCATGTGCCCCGTGAAGGGACACAGCCCCATAGCAGCAACACCCCCTTTGAGGGATCACAGCCTCGAGCAGAGGCGTTCCCTTATCTTGTGAGGGATGAAGCTCAGCTCCCCCTGCCCCATCCTGTCCCTCAGCTCCATAAAGGATGTCACCCCCATCCTGAAAAGCTGCCATTGACTGTGGTCCCAAAGAAAGCTCCCCGCTGACACCAAACCCCTTCCAGCTTGATCCTGAAACGTCCCACCAGCTCCTGAGCTGCAGCGTCCCATCCAAAAGCTGCACAACCCAAGAGGCATCTTCACCCCAGGACACAGCAGAGCTTCCTCCAGAAAACACCAGGAGCCCCCAGAAACCTCCGTGGATGTCAAGGTCTCCTCAAGGTTTAAGGCTGCAGCTCCCTCCTTTGGAAGCAGCTCTTTGTTACTGCGATGACTTTGTGTTGCGAGAGCGACGCTGCAAGCATCCCGTTCCCAGGCACGCGTTATCAGGTGCAGCGGAGCCGTCCTTGCACAGGAATTCCATGCTCTGCCAGGGGCACGGTGGGGATGGAAAGCAGGACCAAGGGCAGGCTATGCAGGCCACTGAGGGCTCCTGCGTTTGCCTTTGTTGTTTTATCTTCAGAGGTATAAATAAACTACGCTTATTTTATGAGCACCTCTGGCTTCTCTCGCTAAGGTTGGATGCTGCTGGCCTGGATACCCCTGTATCATCACTAAATTAAATGGGATAAAAGAATTCCCCAAACGCACCACAACTGGAACAGCACAGGAGGGGCAAGGAGAGCCTGGTGGGAGCTTCACGTGTAGTACACCAGCTCTTGCACATCAGCCTACGGTTGCCAAGCAGGGTGCAGTGCGATGGATGTCACTTCGGACGTGTTGACACTGCAGTCACCATGGAGACGTGGTAGAAGCTTTAGGAGGACTGAGAAGCAAAGAGACACATCAGTGGTGGAAGGAAAGGGGATAAAACAGCCGGGTGGTTTCCAAGCCCCGCAGCCTGATGCTGCCTTTGCTCGGATGGGGCCGGAGCTGTATCGGGGGGAAGCACTGTGCATTTTGTGCCTGCCTTTGCCGGGTGCTGCAAGGAGTGATTTAAACATGTTTTGTGCCTCAGACCATTGAGATGAGCTACCTGTGGCTATGGGGAATGTAGAATGTACTGGTTGGTGCGTGTTACATACCCAGCTCTGGTGTAAAATCTATAGGTACCACCGCCTACCACTGTTAGCAGCTAAGATTATGGTTTTGTTCAAGTTAGAGTTTGTGCTGTTGGGGACTGAGCCAGTGCTCCTGAAGTAGGTAGCAACTACTGTGTGGTTTTCACTGAGCTTTAAAAGCAGGGTTAAACAACAGTATTCAAAGAGTGAGCAGCTGGTACCAATCCGTAATGGTTTTAATGACAGAATGAAGCACAGAGCATAGAATGGTTTGGGTTGGAAAGGACATTAAAGATCACCCAGTTCCAGCCGTAGATCTCTTTTTACCCTTGCCTGGTAGAGTTAAAAGTCTGTTATCAAGTCTTTGGTGTTCTCATCTGGTCCTGTGTTTTGGGATCACCCAACCTCTTCTTTGACCAGATGAGCACATTGAGCTCTTGCAGCCTTTCACTCGAGGGCACATTTCCCAGTAATTTCCTCATTTAAGCTTTCTGGGGGGCAAAAATCACCATATTTCAAGGTTTTCCTTAACCTGTGGGTGCCAGAAGTGGATGGAGCGGTGGCTCTTGTCAGAAACACAAAGAGAGCATGATCCATCTGCTCCTCCTCAACGTTGTGTCGGTGCCATCGCGGGTACCATTAGCTGTTGGCCACAGGGTCACGCTGAGGCTGATGTTCAGCCAATTACTCACCATCACCTTCAATTCCTTTCAGGTCACTGCCACCTGGGATAAACCTTTCCATTCTGTAAGAAAAGGCACATTCTTTGTCCCTGGACACATGGCATTTGCTCACCATCCCATGAATATTCATGGCTTGCGTCTGGCTTGCAGAGCAGCCTGGGACATGCCCTTATTGTTTGCTGCCCCACAAACTTTGTACCATTTGCAAGCCTGTCCTCAAGGAGTTTATTTATTCTTGCCAGTCACTGACATAAACATGCTGGATTTCTATTGTTGGCGTTTATTAATCATATCATCATGCAGAGCCAACACAAATGTGTCAAACACGTCTGTTACCAGCTCATAATCGCATTGAAAAACCATACTGAGTTTGCCTGACAGAGTCTATTGCCCTGAAAACCGTTGGCGACATTAACTCTGATGTTCCCTTAATGTCCTGCTAATGAAGTTCTATAGAATTGTTTTTGTGGGACTGATAAAAGCCTGATGGAGCTTTAAACACTCTCCCTTTTCGTTATTGACCTCTCCTTGGGTGTTTTCCAGTCCTCCAGAACTTCCCTTGTGTTCTAAAACTTCCTAAAGAGATCATTGTAACAGGTTGGAAACCTTGAGCAGCCTTTGCACAGCCTCTTACACAGGTTACCTGAGGCTGCTGGTCCAAAAGTCGTCATCACTGTCTACAGATCACTGTGGCACCCAGGATCTTCCCAAATTGAGGAATGATTGTAATTCTGCCATTTCACTGGAGCGATACCATCAGAATTTCATAGGATTATGGGATCCCAGCCTGGTTTGGGTTGGAAGGGAGCTTAAAGCTCCTCCAGCTCCAACCCCTGCCACGGGCAGGGACCCCTTCCACTAGAGCAGCTTGCTCCAAGCCCCTGTGTCCAACCTGGCCTTGAACACTGCCAGGGATGGGGCAGCCACAGCTTCTCTGGGCACCCTGTGCCAGCGCCTCAGCACCCTCACAGGGAAGAGCTTCTGCCTAAGAGCTCTTCTCAGTCTCCCCTCTGTCAGTTTAAAGCCATTCCCCTTGGCCTGGCCCTACAGGCCCTTGTCCCAAGCCCCTCTCCAGCTTTCCTGCAGCCCCTTCAGGCACTGGAGCTGCTCTAAGGTCTCCCCTTCAGGAGCCTTCTCTCCTCTTCTGAACAAGCCTGGAGAAGAGAGTTTCTTTTCTCCTCAAAAAGCTCTTTCCTATGGTGCTCATTGTGCTTCCTCATGTCATGGCCTTACTTTACTGAACTCTTTTCTCCCTGCTGCTTCTTCCCTTCCCGTTGCCTCCACACTCCTCTGACCGCACCTATGCTCAAGTAACAGCAGGCAGGCGCGCTGCCAGCGCTGCTCTTACATTTGGGCTCTGCGGTGTCATTCAGACAACATTTCCCAGTGAAACAAGGGCATTGTCACACAGATCCAGGGATTAAACGTGGAAAGGAAGGAACAAGCGAGGCCAGATGCTCCTGACCTGGAACACCAACCTCCTGCAGGGACATGGGGGAATCTGAAGCAACCTCCTGGGGTAAGGACTGGAGCCCCTGTGGTTGCTTCCACATTCTCCTCCTTCATCCCCAGCCTCTTCCTGCTCCTCGCTTCTGCCTTCACCAAACTCCTTAAGCCATAACCCCGCTCCCAGCCTCAGCATTTGCTTTCTCCTGCCCAACAGCTTAAAGCTGGACGAGGAGAGGAACGTGGTATTTCTAAAGCAACAAGAACGCCCCGGGTGCTGACTAAGCACACAAATCACCCGCTTCTGTTTGCTCTGGGTGTGCAGCAGCCTGCTTTCCGTCTTAAAGGCTGACCTTTAGCACCCTCCGCTTCAACCCTAAGGGAATAAATCAACCTCCATCGCCCAGAGAGGTGCCTGCATTTCATTCATCCCTCCTCCCTCAGCCCCTTTCCCCATTTTTCCATGCGGTGCCAACTCAAAGCATCCCCTGTAAGCCTACGAAACGCAATCTTGGCCGTTCCAGGGGGGCAAAGCTCAGGAATTCGCTGCCCTTTGTGCAGGATAAAGGGCAGGACTGGAGCTGGGATGGAGATGCAGAGGAAGTGAGGAGCTGCAGGGGGGCCGGGC